GAAGCATTGTTTCAACAATAGGCGGAACGGATGAAGATGTCGAAGTCTTCTACACTCAGTATAAGGAATAGGATTCAGATTTCCAACACCAGTGTCGAGTCAATCCCTCTATACGAGTCAGAAACATGGCCAGTGTGTCACGGAAAGTATTTCTAACAGCCTGATGCTGACTTTCATCAACAACTGACTTCGCTCTTTGCTGAAGGCCAGATGGCCAGAAAGAGTTAGTAACAAGAAACTTTGGCTGGGAACAAGCCAACCAAGAGCCGATCGCCCAACAAATACGCAGGGGAAGATGGAGATGAATGGACTGGGCATACATTGAGGAGGCCGTCGAATGACCGCGCGCACCAGGCCCTCGACTGGATGCCCAATAGGAGGCGACAAGTGGGACGTCAGTGTGAGGGTGACATGGAGAAGATCGTATGTGTTGAAGGAGGAGATGAGAGAGTATGGGCGATCTTGGAGCTAGCCAGCTGAAGAGGACGGCAGAAAATAGAAGACAGTGGAGATATGTTGTTGAAGTCGTATGTTCTACTCGGAACCAAAGGGAATACTAATAACTTATCCGAGTATTTGCAGTTTATTAAGTAGTGTGAAATAACGGAGAAGATTTTATTGTCCTACCAGAACTTCAAAATGAACTGAGCTTTTGCAATCCTTTATGAATTGACCAACCGTCATTCTTGATGACTTGGAGTGTGAATGGCTGTCTCTAGAAATTTTCTTATCTCACTACATTCACTTGTATTGGTTGTCACCAGTCACCTCTTAGACCTGATTTCATTATGAGTTTAGCACTTAAGATGTTGTCCAGGTAGGACAATGTAATTTTCGCAGTTAAACAACAGCACGTGAAACAACCACCTGATCTTAATATTTTTCCCCATATTTCAAAATCTTACTAACACGGAACTCTTCTGTCTGTACCTTAGACCGTATGAATAACCTTCATTTAAGGGCATATCATCCAGCACCCAGCGCGTCATCAACATGAAATTGCATAAAAGGACATGTTTAACATGGGTAACTGATTTAGACGCTATCGTCCGTCTGTGATCGTGTTGAACCAGTTTTAAGTGAAGTGATGACTGACTGGTGGCTGATTTAGCTGTTCCTGACAGGGGAGGAGGCAGTAGTCGCCTATTGATCCAGTTTTCACTGCTACAGTTTAGCAGGGTAACGCAAATTTATGTTAAATATTAGGCACTGATCGCACGAATATTATTTCTTATAAGCTGATACTCGTCAGCAAGAGTTAATTTAGATATGATGGAGAAGATTTGTAGCTCAAGTGGATGATTTTGATGTGGTTGTGTTCTCTGAGCTGGATTGTTAATTTGCGAAGCTTTCATTGGCCTACTAGTCAACATCTTCAGCGCATACTTCAATTCGATGAAGTGAGATTTAGATTTCTCCACGAGTTCCCTGTTAGTCATCTCTCCTGATGACCACCTTGAAAGTGACTCTGGTTGTTTTTGTGTGTTTTTACACCCTCTAGGCGGATTGTATTGGAACTGATTGTTTCCTTCACTTGAACTTTCACCCTTTGTGGTTGTGTGAGATTTCCTTCCTATCGATTGGTAAATTTTTTCTCTCTCGATGTGTCTATTGATTGACGATTCACTGGAATACCAGACAGGCTTCTAAAAATTCTCTGACATTCTTGGTATTTCCTTTGTCTAATATTTGAACGCTGGTTGTCCTAGTCGAATTGATGTCCATGGTTGTCTGTATGCAGCTATATGAGTGAGGGAGTGGATGTCATATCTTTTGACGGCTAGTTTATATTCATGGATACGAAGACGAAGGGGATGTCCACTTTGGCCAATGTAGTGTTTTTCTCAGTCGTTGCAACTTATTTTGTAGATGATGTTGGTTTTATCTTCTTTCACTGTTGAGTCTTTTGGTTGACATATAGCTGAGTGAAGTGATTTTGTTGGTTTGTGTGTGACATCAATTCCTAAAGGTTTGAAGAGTCTTGCAGTGATTTCTGAGATGTCCTTCGTATATAGTAGGGCGATTTTCTTTGTGCTTTTGATAGGTTGGCTTGGGGTATATGTCTTTTAATGAAATTCCGTGGATATCCATTCTTTTGGAAGACGTCAATGAGATATCTTTCTTCAATTTTCTTTAAGGTGGGAGTGATGAAATGAGTCCTGGCCCTCTTCAATAGTCTTTGTATACAATTCCTCTTGTGTGTTATTGGATTGTTGCTGTTTTTGTAATTCAGTATTTGTTCTGTGTGAGTTTATTTCCTATAAACTTGAGTTCCTAATTCCCCTGTGGTTGTTCGCTTGACTAAGATGTCCACAACTGGGATTTTGTTCTGGGATTCCTCTTCTCTTGTGAATTTGATATCGTTGAAGACGTTATTTATTAAGTTGTGAGTTTTATCCAACTCGTTTCTTTTGATTATTGCAAATGTGTCATCCACATAACGTATCCAAATTTTGGTTTAGATCTTTGGTAGGATTATGTTTTTGAGCCTTTGCATCACTGCTCCTGCAATCAAACCTCATATTGGCGATCCCGGAGTTAAATCCGGGAGTTAATTTAAAATTTGAATGAAACTGATGTCTTCTTTGAGATTCTGACCTCCATCACCTGACAGAAACCAATATAGATGTATAAAGTTTGTGATTTCGCTACTGTGTGGCACACCTACAAGTTCTACAGTGAATGTGAGGTCCTTCAGTGTTACAGACACAAAGCCAATGGATCCCTAACTTTTAACACTGAGGAACTTAATTTTATCAATGACTTACAGAAATTTACGTAGGATTAGAGAACTTACATATGTACTTGATCTAGTGCCACACTGGATCAGTCACAGTGTGAATAACTCACGTTTATGATATTTATTCCTGAAACATTACATGACGTTGACCCTATAAACCAAGACTTGAATATCAATTAGATGCTCACTGGCGACTGGCCATCTTCAGGTAGGTAGTTACCTGGGGTTCTAGTGGGAATTCATGACCAGTAGGGTGCAGCAGCTCGGGTGTGAGGAAAAATACTCGCCGAAGACATTGGCTAGTGGTTGCGCTATTTCATGAATTGGCAGAAGTTAGAATTCATGGGCCATTGGATCGGGTCCCAGTGGCTTAGTGGTCTACGAGCTTGCTAGCCTTGTAACCAGAAGGTCATGGATTCGAACCCCGGTGGGTGCGTACTGCTGAAGAGTCTCAAACTAGACTGATGAAACAGCTGTCCAGTACTCTCAGGTTTTCCAATGGTTCTCTAACCAATGTCAGCTGATGATGAAATCCTGTAACCAATCAACCAAATCCCTACAAATCAATACTTGAATATGATTTAATCTAAATTACTCACTAAACTGCTAAAGTCGTGTACGTTTAGATGCGCTATCAATTAGTGATCAGTTCTCGTTCTAATTGATGCACTCACTGATGCTCAGCGTCAGCAGTTTATTGCTTAATCTTCAAAAATCACTTGACAGGACTTCAAGTGAACATCGGGAAGACGTAGACGATGCTGATACCCAATCAACAACAACAAGAACATCAGTCTCAGTCAGCGGGAAGAATCTATAGGAAGTCACCGTTTTCATTTATCTGACCTAGACAACATTGTTTTTTTAAATACAGGCTGCACAACAGTGGATGTCGAAGCGATGGAGGAACGCAAATCGATCAAATTGCAAATCTACTATAGTCAGAATAAGGAATAAAATACAGATCTTCAACAGTGATGTCAAACCAGTACTCCCATGTGGTTCCGAGGCTTGGTGTACATGTCACGAAAAACATTTTTAACAAGTTCCCGCAGACTTGCACCAAAAGCTACATTCGTTTGATACTGATTGTCAGATGCCTGACCAGAGAGACACTGAAAAGACTGTTAGCTGACGTCAATCACCAGGCATTCCGTCGCCTGGAACCCGAATGGGAAAAAACGAATTGGGTAAGTATCCGATGGTAAATTGGGAGTGGAGGGGAGGGAGATCGTGTAAGGAGGAGATGAAAGCTTATTGACGTTTATGGAGCCAGCCCATTAGGACTGCTGAGAACGAGATGAAATAGCGATATGATATTGAAGCCCTGTCCTGAACTAAAGACTTAAGGTAATAATAGAAATAAATAATCAAAAAGTATGGTGAAGCAAGTCGTTGATGTAATGGATGTGTGTGTATGTGTGTGTAAACCTACTTACTGAAGGAATAGAACTAGTGACTAAAGAGTTACCAGTCCATAGGCTGTGAGTTTGTATCCTACTACAAACCACAGTGTCATTGCAACCTTTATTAATCCTCCATTACTTCAATAACAGTGTGATATTTTAAAATGTTAGTTGATATGAAGACTAATCACGAAGACAGAGTCGTAATCAAGGATAAAACAGATGTCCAGTACCCCCCCCAAACACACACACACTTGCTCTCAGTGGTTCTCTCGCTGAGGTCAACTCATAATCTACCTTTAAATATCAGCCAAATCGCTGCTAATCAGCCAGTGAGTGACTGCAGAATGAAACTGTCTTAATTTGTAGGGGGAATTGGTGAGTGTGGGGATAATTAGTCTCCGATAACAGTGTCTCGCGGTCAAGGTATATCTCGTCAACTGGTAGAAGTGTTATTGGTAGAGTTATCGCTTGAAGATTCTTAGTTCGAACCCTCCTGGTACAGTCATGAATCCACACTGTTGAAGAGTCTCAAACAAGCACAAAACACCTCTTCGATAGTTCCACCAACAAGTATATAAGTTAGCTAAAAAACTAATCTGGTTAGTGTTAGAATTGTATAAGCATAGTGATTAGCCTGAGGTGTTATTAGTGAGAGAAATAAACTAAAAGTAATCTGGTTACATACATATATATATCTGTTTGTGTGTGTGTGTGTATGTGTGTGTTAGTAAACGATTTAACCAAGAGACAAAAGTGATTTTCGTGAAGTAATTTGACAAACAGAAAAAGCGAAAGAGTAAAAGAGATGCAAGTGGTGAGTAAGTGAGTGTAAGTGTGTAATAAGAAATTACTTTTCAATGAATAGAAATACTTTTTTTTTTATAGATTTAACCATGTCCATTTTTTAACGCTTGGATGAAGATGACTTGGTTTCATTGGCGTATCAAAGTATCTATCTGAAAGTATTAAAGACAACGATAATAATAATAATGATGGTAATGATACTCTGTGCGTGTGTATGTGTGTGCGTATATATGGACATAATTATAAGATTAGGCAAAGATATAAACATAAACCAGTATCGATTATATTGTGGTGAGAGCTGTCTACTAGCCGAAATTAGTAGACAGCAATTTACGTCAATGTTTACATCCCAAATCTTGGTCATGAGAAAAAAACAAGGACAAAGCCTAACCTTAAGGAATTCAACAACCAATCACAGCAGAGTTAGCGTGGGCGGATGCGATTTGCAAATATATCACTGGACAGATATAATAAAGAGACGACAAAATGACCTTCAGCGAGAAAACAACCAGTCAGAAGACGTTTACCTCTCTGCTAACGATAACGAATAATAGTGTACATAAAAATCTATAAATATCTGTTGATTTTCTCAATAAACGATCTGTTGACTGGCCCTTGTCTTCTGTCGTTAAAACATCGAAAAGGTGGGCATCAGTTAATTCATTTTGGGATGGCAGATACGCTATATTGATAATCACTAGTGAGAATGAAACTTGGCTCTTGTGCATCCTGCCAATCGACTCCAGCTACGCAACCAATAAATAACGAAAACTATGCACACATGACACTGCTTACTTCATCACATTCCTACAGCACGTCAGTCGTCAGACTGACTGAACCACTGGATGACACTGTGTTCAAATTTCAGAGGAGAAAACAGTTACTTGAAGATCTCAGACACACTTTTCTGATGACTGCCATTAAGCATTTCCTGTAACCACCTGACATCAGTTATTGTTCACACTCATGAAGCTTGAACATATAGTTCCAATATATGTATAAACTTCATTGAGGTGAATTAATGAGATGTCCTATTAAGATATGGCAACTGATACGATTCAGGCATTTATATGGCCCATATACTGAACTACGGTTGACCTCAACGTGAGGAAACAGTAAGATAGAAGAAGTTCCACAATCATGAGTTATGAAGATACTGATTTTATTCATTGTTTTCACTGATGAAAACTATAAGATGTGCATTTCTTCCGACTGGAGGCTCGTCATTCCCTGGATATATCTACAATCCCCAGTGAGTAGTGATAGCATTCCCAATTGAGACTTGAACCCGCCTTACATTTTCCGGACAGCGAATGTGACCGAGAGATAAGAACCAGACGCAACGTCGATATACCATGTCTTTAAAGCACAAGCTACCTATCGAATGAAGGCCATTCAAATCAAGGTCATTTAAGCCTACATACATCGAACTTCTGGATTTAAATATGCAGAGTGATTGAACCTACATTATATACCACTTAGAGATTAGTTACACTGAAGGCGAGAATGTATTATTAGCAAATACAGTGGCAACCCTAGAGAATAGCAGCCCGAACCGAAACTACCTAGCGAATGGACAAATGACCTTGAGCAACCAATCAGGTGACTCTGTTTTTTCCAGACGTACTTATGGGTACTGCACACCTTTTCCCTTGCAAATTCGCTCCAGATCTTGTTTTTGATTACTGTTTAGAGAACAAACTGATAGGAAGGTCGAAAAATTGCCAATGTGGAGGTGTCATTCATATGCAGAGATACAATAGGTGCATCGATGGATTTGTTTGTTGGTGAAATGAGTGCCGAACCAGACAATCAGTTCGAGAACGTATATCTTTCTTTTTTTATTCACAGATTCCTTTGGTACTTTTGATAAAAGGAAAATATAATCGAGGGAGATTGAGTGTGAATCAGCAATAGGTATTGGGGATATATGACACCAGCCTCCGGAAAGGATATATTGAGGTGATCTCTAATCGCAGTGCAGGTGTATTATTGCCTATTATCCAGAGCTTAGTGCTGCTTGGGACGACTAATCATACAGATGAATGGAGTAGTTACAGTCAGTTATCGAATCTGGGCTATATTCATCAACTGGTTAACCATCAATCCTTTTGATGGAATTCACACTAATTCCATCGTAAGTTTCTGAAGTCACTTAAAAAACGTATCAGATCTGTAAATGGATCAAGAAATGCAATGATATACAGTTATCTGGATGAGTTTATCTATAGGACTTGGTTTAACATGAGTATCAAGACTCCTATGAAAAATTGGGAGGTTTCCTTGCAGCATATACGGGAACGTTATCCTTTGTAACTATTTTTTAACATTGCATTACATTTATATAAAGGATTTATTACAATTATGCGCCGTTTTTTTGAGCCTTCTGATTGGTCGAAGTTGTCCTTGTGAAGGTTATTTGTCCGTTCGCTAGGTAGTTTCGGTTTGGGCTGCTATTCTTTAGAGTTGCCAGTACAGTTTGACTCGTTGATTTCTTATAATAGTGTTTGTTGATATAATGGAGAAGATTTGCAGCTCAGTTGATTGATATTGAATTAGTTGTGTTCTCTGAGGAGCTGGCTGATTGAATTGCGAAGCTCTTGTCGTTCCCTTTCTAGACAACATTGCTACAGCTCAGGTTTTAGTGTAAAGTGGAATCATTTAAATTCTCCATGAATGATGCAGTTGTATCTCCTGTCAACCCCACTGTCGTGGCTAGTTGTTAATTTACATCCCTGTTGATCAGTTTTATTCACTTGGAATTTAAAATCATCTGACATGCGATTTACTTTTTATTAGCTGGTAAATTTGGTCTTTAGGAACTGGTGTGTTTGTTAATCGCTGGCTGTTTCACTTGAGTACCAGGCTTCCATGAATTTCCTGACTGCTTTTTTAGTGTTACCTCTACTCAAAATTTCTAAATTATCCCAATCATCAGATTGGTGTCCGTAATGATCCATATACATTGGTATGAAAGAATATATAATACCTTTGTACAGTTAATTTGTGTTCTTCAATTCGGATTCGAAGGGGACGTCCACTTTGACCGATGTAATGTATTTTACTGCAATTCATACAATTTATTTTGTAAATGGTATTGTAACAACAGAAGAAAAGGACCAGGCAGCAGATCATTTATTTCAGAAATCAACACATATTTATAGATTTTCATGTACATTATTAAAGATTATTGTTAGTAGACAAACACAGTCTTCTGATTGGTTGTTTCTCACTGAAAGTTAATCTTTCATCTTTTTATGGCTGTTTCTTGAATGTCAGATCATCCAAATGCTAACTGTATCCACCCAACCTAATTCTTTGCTCTAATTTTTCTCACGACCAATATTGAGGACGTGAATATTGACGTAAATTACTGTCTACCAACTTTGGCTAGCAGCCAACTCTCACCACACTCTTCCCCCCGTCAAATACTTACGGCTGAAGTTGGTTCAGTCTTCTTGGTTCTAGGGGCTTTGTCCGTTTGTCTTGCTGTCTGGAATCTCGGCGCTCGCTGATGTTCACCTGCTTCTCTTTGTTTACCATTGCGATTGTGTTTGCGTAACCCCATCTCAACGTGACCATAAGTGGTCCTTCCCACTTCGGAAACTGTTTGCCTGACCCTGTCGCATATTCGTAGGTATTTCGCCTCACACTTTCACATGCTGCTTTCTCCCGACCTCCCAGCAGCGTCCCAAGTAGCAGCCTCATCGCTGACAGTTCTTGAACGCCACTCAACTGCGAAGAAGCCTCGAAGTCCTGCCCGAAGATCCATATGTCTCCATCAGAAACTGCAGGGCATAGGCTTTCCATTTGTCGGTAGGCAGTGACACCAAATGTAACAACAGAGGACAAGGGCCAGGCAACAAATCGTTTATTTAGGAAATCAACACATATTTATAGATTTTAATGTACATTATTATAGATTAGTTAAGAAAACAAACACAGTCTTCTGAATGGTTGTTTCTCATTGAAAGTTAATCTTTCATCTCTTTGTCACCGTTTCTTGAAGTTCAGATTATCTATCTGCAAATTGTACCCGCCTACGCAAACAAAGTCTGCTGTGATTGGTTGAATCAGTCTTTGTTCTTATTTTCCTCACGACCAATATTGAGGACGTAAACATTGACGTAAGTTACACTGTCTACCAATTTGGCTAGCAGCCAACTCTCACCACAGTATGACCCTTGCAAATCGATGATACTGATATAGAAACCAAGTCTGAAGTTAAGTATCTTGGATTAGTTCTCTCTTCTGACCTATCCTGGTCCTCCCATGTCTTAGCGATTTCTAAAAGAATATTTCGTCTAACGTTTTACATTAAGAAGTTAAGGCACTCAGGCATAACCCAACCCCTCCTCTTACAGTTTGTCAACTCGTGTATTTTACCTATTCTTCTTTACTGTTCATCCTTATTCTTTCCTGGATTGCTTAAAAAGGACTATGTCAAACTTGGTAGAACTCCGAAGACTGTCAGTAAGACGAGTGGTATCCCATTGGGCCATATCGTTGACATTGTCACTGACAGGCACTTAATGTCATGCAACAAATTCGCTAAAGGAATTTTGTCAGACTCTGAGCACCCACTCTACCCGCAGCTTCAACCTTGTGTCTCCTCAGGTAAAACAAGAAGTCTTTTTAGAAGAATTTATGCACGTACGTCTAAGTATAAAAATTCCACTATACCATATTTAGCACGTACTTTATGTGATGAAAATAGTGTTAGGCATGAACTAACTAACCTTCTTAGCACCACTAAATAAACCATTTTTCCACTCTTATAACATCAAGCTTTATTGTTATTGTTTTATTAGTTTTATAATCCTCTCAATTTCTTATTTTTAATTTTTATAAGTGTGAATCATTATTTAAGCTGTGTTGTAACTGTTAATTTTACCTTTCCCCTCTCTATACTATATCAACAGAACATTAGACTCAATGCCTCTATAACATGCTAAAATTTCCAAACTGAATCGACAATACTGTTTGAAACAAACTCACTGTTATTATTATTATGTTTAATATTCTCATTTTGTACTTCGAATATTTTTGACTTTATGTCGTAAATGTGGACAAATTCCTCTGGCTAGTTTTGTTTTAATTTTTAATTTTATTTATATATTGAGTAAATCAGATGCAATATTGTGACAAATGCTGAGAATTCCATTCTGTATTATAAGTACTGTTTTTGGAATAAAGTAGATTACTATTATTATTATCTTCTTTTTCTGTTGAATGGTTTTTTTGGTTTGCACAATATCGAATGAAGTGATTGTGCTGGCTGACTGGCATGTGTGCTATATCTATTTCAGACAGTCTTAATATTCTAGCTGTTATTTCAGAGATATTTTTTATATATGGTAGGATGAATTTTCTTGTGGTCTTTGATGTTCGGATAATGTAGAAAGTTTAAATCGAGGAAACACTAAAAATACAGTCAGGAAATTCGTGGAAGCCTGGTACTCAAGTGAAGCGATTAACAAACACATTATTATTATTGTCATCACATGACAAGAAAGTTCGAATTCCAAGTCAGTAAAACTGATCAACAGGGATGTAAATTAACGACCAGTCACGACAGTGGGGTTGCCAGGAGATACAACTACATCATTCATGGGGAATTGAAATAAGTCCATTCTCTACTAAAACCTGCGCTGAAGATGTTTTCTAGAAGGGGGACGACGAAACCTTCGCATTTAAATCGACTAGCTCCTCAGGGAACACAAATAATTCAATAGTACTTTTGAATAAGGCATTCAGAAGACAAATTTCGCGAGATGATATCATTTCGTAGTTTCTTTACAACCGCTTTACAACTAACATGGATAACAATAATAACCTTATCACTTGTCATAGTAAAAAAATATCTCGAAAATACAGCTTCTGTATCAAAGAAAGCTATCTTTATTAACCTACCATTCAAGGGTGACCAGGTCATGCATTTGGCAGCTAACTCAAAGACTTCGGTCAGCCATCAAACGCACATTCCACGCTGCATCTCTTTTTCTCACTTGCCGAACATTTTCGATCCCTGTACTTACGATTAAAGGACGAAATTCTGTCGACTCTACTTCAAATTGTATCTACAAGTTCACTTGCAGTTGCGGTGACACCTATATAGGTAGAACCAACAGAATGTTCCAATGTCGTCGAAAAGAACATGTTCCAAAATGGTTACTAAATCATATAGAAAATCCCAATGCGAGTAATCTGATTAGAAATCCAGCATTATCCATTGCAAAACACTTATTAATGTCAGGTCACAAAATCAATATTAATGATTGTTTCACAATTATTTCACATAACTCTAATTCAAGGTCGGTTACTGAAGGTGACGGAGGCACTTTGGATTAATCACACACAGCCTAAACTGTGTGTACAAAAAACAATAGACTCCAATCTTCGCCTACCATGGACAACATGACCTATCTAAATATGATTGGTCATTAGTATGTACTTTTGTTTTTTTATTTAACTGAGTAATTGTCATGATCTTTATTTTATTATTGTTAACCATGTTAGTTGTAAAGCGGTTGTAAAGAAACTACGAAATGACGATATCATCTCGCGAAATTTGTCTTCTAAATGCCTTATTCAAATTTGTCGAAGGGACTAATTGTTTTAATTTTCTCATTAGTACTTGTCTACTAACCACTATATATTATGATTAAATTTCATTGACCCATACTAAGTCCTCGGGGCCTTTTCCAATGCTATTATTCTTGCGGTAGTTTTATCCAACTTCAACATACGCAAGACTGAATTCCAGTTACACACGTACATGAAGGCAGTGTACATCTTTGGGTTGTAAATTTAAACTGTAGAACAAGAGAAGATCTCAAAAGCATGGTTATCTATGGTCACTAATCACAACAGAAAGAGAACCTTCACAACCTTCTCTAGGTTTTCTTTACCTTTAGACCATTCAATTCGCCATATTTACATCCTGAAGTTCAGACGACTTTGAGTACTGCTCAAATAAAAGATGATTACTAGGTCTCGCAGATAAGTCTTAATGATGCCCATACAGCCTTTCTGGTCTGGTCAGCAATACGACTAACTGACGTGTGGTGGGTACGAATCAAATGTGGTTATAAAAACGACTCTAATCGTTGATCACAACATCAACCATCGACACAACGAAATCACTATCACAGATAAGCGAGAAAAGAGAGGAAGAGGACCTTTGAAGAGACAGATTTCACTAGCTCAAACAATTTACAGTGATATTTATTGTCCGGGTTTCAAATAGCTCTGATAAACATTAAATTTAATAATAGATTGACAGTGGTAGCAACGTTTGAGAGATCAGTATTCAGAAGATTTGAGAAATATAAAGATTTTCTCGCACCCCTCTTCAAATAAAAGTTTCTGTTGAATGATTTTGATATTGAATCAGGACTGCTGGCATCTATTGACTTGTTGGTTTCCAGTGACGAGGCTTCGACAATATTTGAAAATTAAGGACTATACTATCCTGAGAAGGATGTTGAAGGTAGTTAGTAGGACTAGTGGTGTAAAACTCAGTCAGCTCGTCACTACACTAGTTGAAAGGCATCTGAATACATGCGAAAAATGGTCTAAAACCATACTCTCCGACCCCCAACACCCCCTCTATTCCCAACTCTCGCCTTGTATCTCATCAGGCAGAACCAGAAATCAGTATAAAATAATATATACTCGTACAACCAAGTACAGGAACTCAACGATACCATACTTGGCCCGTGTTCTAAGCGACAGAGACAATGTTAAGCGCGAAACCTATGACTTGCTTTGTTGTTAATTAACATAATTTTAGGCTCTTTTATTTCTCTCTTATTTTGTATTCTATAGTGAACTCCTTCTTAAACATACTTAGCTACCTAAATTATTAACATTGGCTTACTTTTTTATTTTACTGTATTTCCTTCTTTTGTGTATCTACTGGTTCCGACTATATTAGCTCTATGAGTAGTACAAAATTGTCCTGTCATTAACCACCATGTAATTATTAGTTTTTGTGGTTGTTTTTTTTCTTATTTTTTGTTTTTTTCGGCAATATTAAACTGACAATCATTGGTTGTGAACGCCATTATCACCATCTTAAAATTTCGTATTATGCAGGATTACTCACACTACCACTACAAACACTGCATTAGACCTGACGATAAAAAACAAAACAACAACCCTGAACTGTTATTTTATGATTGTTTAGAGTTGTTTCAACCAAATTAACTGATCATCTTGGCGATAAACATTCTTAAATATCATTTCATAATTTCTTGTATGACTATAGCTTTACTGTCACCATGCATAATCATATCATAGCTTCCATTACCCAATACTTAGTTATTATTAAATGCTGTTTATTTTCCTTTCTACTTCTTGGTATTTTTTCGCATTTTTAAAAAATTATTTTGTGTTTTTCCTTTTTTTTGCTGTTGGTGTCTTTATATTTATTTTTTTTGAAATACTCCTTTTAAATGTTTGATAAAATTAGATGCAAATATTGTAGATATCTGCTGAAAATTCCACACTGTACCACTAGTACTGTTTCTGGAATAAAGCAAATTATTATTATTATTGAACATAATGCTATTTTTACTGAATGGGAACTAGCAGTGGAATCCAAGATGTACACTCTGTCCTGTGTTGGACTTATCAGCCTGATATACCTGCATTCCACAGGGAGACTCAAACCCTATCGCCATTGTTTTGAAATGCGAAAGAGTGATTCACGAGTCTAGTGAGCCACGAGAACTCTCTTTTGTACAACAGCTATCAGTTTTTAGCGTTGTTTGTGTTAATTTGCCTTTCCCTCTGATTGTTCTGGTAGGCACATCCAGTTGATGGGTCCCAAATGGGACGAAACGCGCACCATCGATTTCACTGCCAGTCACCATCAATCAAAATAACATACCATACGATTAGTTCAATTCCTAACTTCACTGTTTTGAATAATTCACACAAACAGAAAGAAAAATTCCTGTAATCTTAAAACTTTCTCAGTGAATCATAATTGTCGTGATGAGAATTGATTAGGATTAGATAATTTCAAAATACGGACACAGGCACTTACCATAATCAACGTTCGTTACAAAAATGGCTGAAATGAGATAGGCGTGAGGATAAGTAAGCTAGTTAGGCACATAGGTAGATAAGGTGAAAGTGAAAGTATAATTTCATGAGTGTGGTACCATTAAATAATTTGTTTTTTTTTGGGGGGGGGGCGGTTCTCTCGAAAATACACAGAAAAGAGGGTACACTGGGGAAATCACAACAATCACAATAACACCCTGTCAATCTACACAGTTGTATGTATCAGGTTAAGTGCATTGAAGCGGTGACCTAAAGGTGTTTTCTTTAGTTTATGCATGGTTAGACTGGAACGATAATCACTTTACACCCAAACTCACTACAACTATTATTGGTAAACTGTTAAATATATTGTTTAAATAATTATTTGCTATACATTCTATATTAATTTGTTTATGATATATGCAGTATTATGTAATAGGTGAGGAAGTTTCAAACACAATTCATTATTGTTCAGATCCAAATAATTAATTGGGCCTTCTTCATTTCTTCCCGTTCACCTTGATGATAGGAGAATTTTCCACATATCCGGATGGACAGGTGTTGAATCAATCCCACTGCACATATTTCCGGTGGATTCGATAAATAAAGTCTAAGGTTGTACAAAACATACGTCAGACCACACCTTGAAGTGCATAATATCATTGCACCCCCACTGCTTAGAAGAGACGCCAACCTCTTGGAAAGAGTCCAGTGATGGGCAACAAAAGGAGTGGTTGGTCTCCGAAATAAACCATATGATGAAAGACTGAAGAAATTAGGCCTATTCACACCTAGCTACCGTCGTCTTAGGGGGGATTTAATTACTGCCTACAGAATAACAAATGATCAGAATCACCCAAACAAACAAAGGTGTTCTGCCATTGAGTAGGTATAGACTCCCTCGTGGAAATCCTAAAAGGATAGCTCACCAGAGGGCAAGGACCTGGGTGCGCTCCCACTTCTTTTCCCTGCGGGTTTACCGTCCCTGGAATTCCCTACCGGCAGATGTAGCTATGGCACCGTCTGTGGACGCCTTTAAGCGAAGGCTGGACAACCATGCAGCGACACGAGGACTGCATCCGAATGGCATATCCCTTTAAAATCGCATACACCATTCAAAGGTAGACAATTAAACTGGTCGTTTTACTTCTTTACATTCTTTTCCGTCTTACTCTCCTGACAGCTTTAACTACATTTATTATTATTATCTCTTTTCTTCTGACGACGATACCGGAGGACTAACTGGTGAAAGGATCAACTCCATTCACAGTAGTAACAGTCTTAACACACCTCATACTACAAACCACAGATAATTAATCCCTGCACTTCTCCTTTTGGAGTCAACCAAAGCTACGACAGTCGAGTGGCGGGACGAGCTACGCAGAAGTTTACCAAAGATCAGGAACCTATGCCTCACAATCAAAAGGCGAGCACAAAGAAATCAAATTGGTTTATACTAGCTCGTAAAAACGATACTGGATATTGGATATCTCTCCCTCCCTCTTTCTCCCCGACGTGTTATTTTTGATCTTAAGATTGTCATTTTATTCCGTGCTACTTTATGGTTGTCTGTAATTCTATGTAGTGCTATGGCTGAGGTATTCTTTAGATTTCTTGTCACATTCTGGTCAACTAATCTAGATTATTAAGTATTGGTTCACAGGGATTTGACTTATTACATGACTAATCATTAGATGACATCAGTCAGAGAACCAGTGGAAAATCAGTAGTACACACCCACACCATGGGGTTCGAGCCCTGGGACCTTTTGGTTGCAAGGTAAGCTCGTAGAACATTAAGCCACTAGGACTTGAACCAATGGCCAGTCGATGAATTCCACATTCCGCTAATTCGTGATGTATATGTATTTCGCGCAACCACTAGCCATGTCAGGGGAGAGGAAATATCCTCTTACCTGACTTGGTGGACCCCACTGGTTATGACTTCTCCCTAGAACTCCAGGTAACCTCCTGTATAGGGGCAGTCGTTAGTGAGCATCATATTGTTTGTACAGTGTTGGTTTGTGCTCAGATGGTCTGACTGACTGCCTTCTACTACTGTGAATTATGTCACTGACCTGATACTTATTGCAGGGTATTAGATAAACTAAATTTAGATAAAGCAATAAGAAGACGTAATTTGTCTGAATCGTGGGTGTGTAATGTATTTGCGCAACACATTTCGGACAATCTGATTACACACGGACTTGCCATAGGAATATATAAGAAATTAAGAAAGAGGTAAGAGGTGAGAAAATAGACTTAGGTCAAGTTTAAAGGACATATTCAAGGTCAAAGTAACAATGGAGACCACTAAACCAAATAACAGAGGTAATAGTACATCTACTCTGGCTGGTATCAAAACAAAATTTACCAAGGAAGGTTTAATGTGATGACGAATTGTTTTTGAACGCATAAAGGTGGCTTAAACTTTTTAATTGCTAGGGCATAAAATTGACGTTAATAGATCTTTCAAACCTATCTATAAAACGTGTTTGCGGCGGATCCTAAAGTTTGTGGAAGCCCTATGTGTTCATCACATTATTCCTTCCTTGGTAAATTTTGTTTTGATACCAGCCAGAGTAGATGTACTATTACCTCTGTTATTTGGTTTAGTGGTCTCCATTGTTACTTTGACCTTGAATATGTCCTTTAAACTTGACCTAAGTCTATTTTCTCACCTCTTACCTCTTTCTTAATTTCTTATATATTCCTATGGCAAGTCCGTGTGTAATCAGATTGTCCGAAATGTGTTGCGCAAATACATTACACACCCACGATTCAGACAAATTACGTCTTCTTATTGCTTTATCTAAATTCATAAAGGGAACTAATTGTTTTAAATAAACTAAATTGTTTTGTTTAATTTTCTCCACGGTATCCTTCAACGGACAAGATTTGACACTTCTGTTCTTGTTCTGTTAAAAATGCAAGGTTGGGTTTCAGAGGTTCCGCCCGTGTTTGGAAGTGCTACCGATGATTTAAATTCTTTATTTTTGGTGTTATTATCATTCCGTGCATGTCTATCATATATATATACGAGTTGATCACGGATTGATTGTCATTTATTCTCACTACTGAAAACCAGGGAGTAATGGACAGCTGTCTCACCCTAGCTTGGAAATCATCGAAAGTACGAAGCCACTGGGGTTCGAGTCCAGGAACTTCCGGTTACAAGGCAAGCTCGTATACCATTCAGCCTCTGGGACCCGATTCAAGTCACTAGCGAGCATCAGATTAATTTTGAATGCGTTGGTTTGTAAGGATTAGATTTGCTTTGCAAACCAGCTCTTGAAAATTAATCTGATGCTCGTTAGTGACTTGCTAAAGGACGGAGTTTCCTGGAGTTGTAGCGAGAAGTCGTGACAAGTGAGGTCCATCTAGTCAAGTGTGAGGATGGATTTCCCACCGATGATATTGGTTGGTGGTCGCGCTTAATGCATCACGAATTTTTTTATTCCTTCACGTTCCCAGTGGAACATAGGGCTCCAAGCTAGAGGCCTGAAGTTTCTGTAGCAGTGTTTTATTTTTACAGGATGGGGTTGCTAGTCTCATACCCAACCTTCCCCCTTTACCAGTCTGATTACTGGCTCAGCGGGGTAAAGGAGTGCGTCGGCCGGGGATCGAACCCCCGACCATGTGCATGGTCGGCGCGCGTCCTAACCGAATTGGCAGAAGTTGAAATTCATGGGTCCCAGTGGTATACGAGCCAGCTTGCCTTGTAACCGGAAGGTCCTGGGTCTGAACCTAAGCGGATGCGTATTGCCGATGACTCCCAAACTAGGATGAAACAGTTGTCCAGTACACCAGTGCTGGTTTTTAATGGTTCTCTAACTGATATCAGTCCGTGGTCAAACCAGGGAAAATAAATCTAATCCTTACAAATCAACTATTGAAAATATCACGTATATCGCTATCACTATTATCACTATTGTGGATATGATAGAGAAGATTTGTAGCTCAGGTGGATGATTTTGATGTGGTTGTGTTCGCTGAGCTGGATAGTTAATTTGCGAAGCTTTCATCACCCTACTGGGTGACATCTTCAGCGCATACTTCAATTTGAAGTGAGCTTTTTAGATTTCTCCACGAGTTTATTAATCATCTCTCCTGGCGACCTTGGACGTGATTGGTTGTTTTTGTGTGTTTTCACACCTTCTAGGTTACTTGTATTGTCACTCATTGTTTCTTTGGCTTGAACTTTGACCCTTTGTGTGTGTGTGACGTTTCTTTCTTATCGGTTGATAAATTTTGTCTATCTCGATGTGTCTATTGATTGATGATTCACTGGAATGCCAAGCTTCTAAAAATTGTCTTGTATTCTTGTTGTTTCCTCTGTCTAATATTTGAACGCTGGTTGTCCCAGTCGAATTGATGCCCGTGGTTGTCTGTATGTAGTGATATGAGGGAGTGGATATCATGTCTTTTGACAGCTAGCTTATGATCGTGGATACGAAGACGAAGGGGACGTCCACTTTGGCCAATGTAGTGTTTTTCGCAGTTGATACAATCTATTTTGTAGATGATGTTGGTTTTATCTTCCTTCGCTGTTGAGTCTTTTGGTTGATATAGAATTGAGTGGAGTGACTTTGTTGGTTTGTGTACGACGTCAATTCCTAAAGGTTTGAAGAGTCTTGTAGTGATTTCTGAGATGTCCTTTATATATGGTAAGGCGATTTTCTTTGTGCTTTCCTTGGGGGCTTTTGGTTTGATAGGTTGGCTTGGGGGTATATGTCTTTTGATGAAATTCCGTGGATATCCATTCTTTTGGAAGACCTCCATGAGATATTTTTCTTCAATTTTCCTTGAGGTGGGAGTGCTGCAATGAGTCCTGGCTCTCTTTAATAGTGTTTGTATACAATTCCTCTTGTGTGCTATTGGATTGTTGCTGTTGTAATTCAGGATTTGGTCTGTGTGAGTTGATTTTCTATAGACTTGAGTTTCTAATTCCCCTGTCGTTGTTCGCCTGACTAAGACGTCCAAAAATGGGATTTGGTTTTCTGATTCCTCTCCTTTTGTGAATTTGATG